CAGCAACTATTGAGGTGTTTCAGCTGGAAAGGTAAAGGTAAAGGGACCCCTGACCGTTAAGTCCAGTCATGGACGACTCTGGGGTTGCGGTGCTCATCTCGCTTTATTGGCTGAGGGAGCCAGCGTACAGCTTCTGGGTCATGTGGCCAGCATGACTAAGCCGCTTCTGGTGAACCAGAGCAGCGCACGGAAACGACGTTTAGCTTCCCGCTGGAGCGGTACCTATTTATCTACTTGCATTTTGACATGCTTTCGAACTGCTAGGTTAGCAGGAGCAGGGACCGAGCAACGGGAGCTCACCGGGGATTTGAACCGCTGACCTTCCAATCGGCAAGCCCTAGGCTCAGTGGTTTAGACCACAGCGCCACCCACGTCCCACTACTAGAAGTAGTAAGCAGCTAAATTTCATCATTGTTACTAGATTTCCAGAGTTCTGGCGTCTCAAAGGCAACAGCTATTTTTGCCAGAGCACTTGGATCAGAGAACACAATGAATAAGCCAACATAAAACTGACTGTGGAACTGTCCAGTTCACAACAGACAATTCTTTTGCTTGCAGCATAAATATTCAGCCAGAAAGAAACACATTCGATTTTTACCGGTCATGCTGATTGACACCCAGCAAGTAAACAAGCAACAGAAAAGCTGAGAAAATTTGGGATTTTTAGATATCCCTTTGGTTTCAGTAAACCAATCCAAATGCGAGGGTGATATAAAGTCTAGCTCCAGGGTAAGAGAACAGGTCTGGCTTACAGAAAATAAGAGACTTAACAAGAAATGGCAAAAAAGTTATTTTTCTTTGGGTTTCTTTAAATATAGTTTTGTTGTGATTTTCTTTTTCTTTTTTTGACAGTGGTTTAATAGCAAATAGCTCAACAAGGGAAGAGTAAAGACTAACCAACCTACAAGGTTGTGAGAAATGAGGAATATTTTTTTTTTACTAATGGGTGCAAAATCAGGTCACCTTAAACAGGGATAGCCAATATAGTGCTCCCTAGAGACTCACATCAGCCACAGATATCATGGACAATAAAGGGTGATAGGTGTTGTAGTTCAGAGTTAATGTGGTATAATGGTTAAAGTATTAGTCTGGTGTGCCAGCCCCTAAGTTTGCCCCTGACAGCAATAGAGATTGTGTCCTAGTTCAATGCTAATACTAGGAACCTAAGAAGCTGCTTAATGGTATGTCCAAACATATGTTCATATAGCATAGCTGTCAACGTTTCCCTTTTTTAAAGGGAAATTCCCTTATTCTGAATAGGATTCCTCGCAAGAAAAGGGAAAAGTTTGCAGCTATGCCATATAGCTCATTACTTGGTGTCATTCAACTAAGTCTTATTCAGAGTAGTCTCATCAAGACTGAATGAATATGACAAAGTTAGGTCCATTGCTTTCAATGGGCCCATAATGAGTGAAGAATAAATACCACTCATTATCTGCACTTCAGAGGGGTCTCTACCAAGGATTGAACCTTGGACTGTGTGCAGACAGAGCCTACAATCTAGCCACGAGCTATAGCCTTAGACAGCCAAAACAGGGCCCAGATTCTTAATTCAGGCATTTAGCCCAACAATAGTTCTTTTCTTGCAATAAAATCTAAAAATCAGAAATCAGCTATTACGTGCAAGCTGCATAAAAAGAGCAACTCCAGTCTTTATCTGCTATTTAATTCATTTGATGAAGTGGAGTGGACTCCAGCATATGAAAGCTTATGGTGTAATAAATTTTGTTCTTTAAACCACTGCTGTTTTTGTGCGAGACTAACATGGTTACCCACCTTATTTATCTATTACGCCACATTGCTAGAAATAGTTCTATTTTGTTTTTATCATCCTCCTTTCTTTGAGACACCGTTAGCTATGCAAATCATTTATTTTACCCCTGGGTTCTCCCATTTTCCTTCCAATTACATTCTTGATTTTTATTATATTTCACCTCCTGGAAGATATATAGGGTTGTACCCAGCAACGGTTTGATTCAGAGTACATCCATTGAAATTATACTTAAGGTACTTGTGTCCATTAGTTCCAATGGGTCTACTCTTGAGTGGAAGTTAGTTGCAAACAACTCTTTTGTCTTTCTAATTTTTTTTTAACAAATCAACAATAGCCTTACACCATTTTTTATTTTTAAATAACCCAAACAAATCTACTTTAAGAAGATGATGACCCTTAATGCAAGGTCATAAAATTAGAGAATGAGAATCCTGAAGGTAATTTAGGCAATTTATGCTGCAAACTTATACATCAGGGATGGGAATCTTGCAACTCTCCAGATGTTTTTGGACAACTCCCATCAGACTCCAGCCAGCATTGTCAATGGTCAGATAGTATGGGAACTGGAGTCCAATAACATTTGGGGGACCCAGGTTCTGCACCCCTCTTGTGTGCTCTTACTGAGGAGTTGGTATCTTTGAACTCAATGAGGCTTACTTCCAAGGAGACATATATTGGGTTACACTGTTGGTTCCCATATTACTCTCTTAGACATTTTATATTGCATTGTGCTTGCAATGGTTGTGAAGCACATGCCTGGATATTAAAGCACGAGGCAGGAGGTGGAAAGCGAGGGGCGATGTCTCCCAACTTTGTAATTACCTGCTTCAGAATACAAATTTGCTTAGCTTGTAATGCTGAAGTGTATTACGAATCAAACATAATTCCCTTCAGAAAAATTCTCCAGTGATGCTTGTAATTGCTGACCCAGTTCCAAATCAAACTGAGAGGAGTTTACCCGTCACCAAAAGAACAGGGTGAGGAAGAGTTGATGTGAGAAGGAGAGAGACAGATGGAAACATGCCAGAGAGACACACACATAAAAAAGGTGGCAGAATACAAAGGGGAGAGATTCTCTCATGTTTTGTTGATGTCTCTCATGCTGGGGTGGGAAGTGGGGAGTGAGGGCAGTGCTCAGTTTAAAGAAGAAGAAAAAGCAACACGGTCAGTGCTTGTCTGTCCAGACTTTCTCTTTGCAAGGGGAAAAAAATTCTATCAAACTGGGATCTCTTTTCTCTACTTACACAAACTCCGCAGATGCTCAAAGGAGATGTCATTATTTTTCATAATAAACAGAGCTGATCCCTGACACTAAAATTATTTACTGAATTTCAGCTTTGGCACAAATGAAGTGGTGCAGAACGGGAAGTGGTCTGCATAAGAACTTGCCAGCCAAAACGTTTGGTTGCAGTTCTTGAGTTTCATTATAGGAAACTCTGAGGGACTACGTAGAGAGGTGTGATGGACTCTTGGCAAGGTACTAAGTCATGCGTTTTTGCTTTGTTTCTTGGTACACAACTCATCTGTGACAAGCCAGTCAAGGGCTGTATCTCTGGTTGTGTGTCGCAGACAGAAGCAAAGGCGGTTTTAGGGTGCCACAACCGGTGTGGTCACTGCCCTACACGGGGCACCCAAAAAATGTGGTGGAATGGAACAAGAGAGGCAGGGGAGGGGTGCACACTGAACTTGAGCATCACACAGGGCACTGCTGAGATCTGAGAGCTCAAAGTTCTCCACTGACAGAAGGTCCCATATTCAATTCTTGGCATCTTCAGCTAGGGCTGGGAGAGGTCCCTGTGCAAAATCCTGCAGAGCCACTGCCAGACAGCACAATGTTCTCATTCAGTATAAGGTAGTTTCTCTGTTGCTAAATTGCTGCAACTAGGGGAGAAACAAGGCCAATAAGAAGCAGGAAGGGCAGGAGGGCATTTGGCCCATGACCTCAAGCAGAAAGTGGAGCTTACTAAGGGTTGCCATGTGTCCTCTTTTTCCAGGGCACATTCTCTTTTTCCAGGGAAAAAATTGAGACAAATTGCATGTACTGTATTTGCTTTGAATGCCGTCGTAGAGTCCTATTTTTTGCTCTTCAAAATATGGCAACTCTAGTACATGTAGACACTTATTAATTTTTTGGCAGTTGATAAGTTTCACAAATATGTGTGTGTGTGAATTGGATCAAATTGTGACACACTCTCTCATCTGAGATCTGCAAATTTAAGCAAATAAGACACGTGATTTGGGAAAAGCCATACTTTTTTGTGAACTGATATAGATTTCGTCATATGCACAGCATTGACAGTGACATTGCATGAAAGTGAGACTTTCTTCAGTAATTAGTGCACATCACAGAAATAGCTGGAAAAGCATTTGTTAAAGAAATGTATTCAGATTACATCTCACTCTTGCTATTTGACACCTTATTTTGTTTTCACGTTTCATTTGTTCACCAAGTGTGTTTATTAGGGCTAAGGGCCTCAAACATGGAACTAGGTTGGGCCTCCACAGAACTCTGAGAGAGCTAGAGAGAAATGAAATTCACCTTCCGTTTAAAGGTGAATCAACCTGATTCACTCTTTCCAAAATAATATGCAGATCGAAACACAGCCATCCTTCAAAATGCACACTTCTCTGATTTTTTAAATGTAGTTCTCCAGCCAAGGAGCATGCACAAAAATCTGTAACTAAAATGTGTATAAAAATGCGTGATGCTGGTGAAAATAACATCCAAAAGTGCTTTCTATTAGGGAAAGTTGGTTTCCAAAAATGTGTATATAAGACAAAAATACATAGAAAAAAATGTGTTTGTTATAAGATCTTTTCACTAAAATGCTGTCGAATTTTCATGAGGACTCCCCCATTGTTGAGTAGAAGTCATCCCCTTGACAAGTTCCAATCACACCCTTGGAAAGAGGCATTGTGGGCTGCCGCTTATACCTCCCAGGACTCTTATTAACTGGGAATATTGGCACTCGGTTCTGCTGGTCCTGCCAGCTCCAGAGATAATTAACACCCCCAGTGATGTCTCAAAACTCTATTGACAGTTTGTCTCTGCCACTGTGATAGCTCCACAAAACAGCTTCCTGTTCCTATACTTAGTGGGCATTAAGTAATGGGGCATTCTCTCTGTGTCACCGTAGGAACCATTATTGTCTCTCACTAGCTCAGGTCCCCACACACAATCCTTTGGGCCATTGCTTTAGCCCAGCAGCTAACAGCAATGATCCAGATGAGCAACCTCCCCGACTCCCTTCCTCTTTATGAAGTTTCCCAGCTGCCATCAAATGCCCCAGGGCATGGCCTGAAGGCTCATGAGACCACCAACTTGCTGAAGCTAAACCTACAGCCTCTCGATGGGAATTGCCATCTTCCCCAACCAGAGGCGACTGCTACTGCTGTGGCTGTTGTTGGGGACTGCCATCTTCCCCACCCTGAGATTCCTCCTCTTGCTGCTGTTGTGGCTGTTGGTGGGGATTGCCATCTTCCCCACCCACCACTTCTTAAAAAACAAGCATCTCTGGACCCTGCCAATATGGCCAACTATTGACCAGTCTCAAATCTTCCATTCTTGGGCAAGGTGATTGAGCGGGTGGTTGCTGAACAACTCCAGGCATGCCTGGAGGATGCTGGCCACTTGGATCCTTTCCAGTCGGGATTCAGGCTTCATCAAGGGACTGAACTGCCTTGAGTCAAAACATGCTAGTCGAAGATCTCCAGCAGGCCAAGGACCAAGGTGAAAGCTATTTCCTGGTCCTGCTGGATCTCTCAGCGGCCTTTGACACCATTGATCATGACATCCTTCTGGATCGTCTAAAGGAGTTGGGAGCTGGGGGCACTGTTATACATTCAGAAAGGTATTTCATAAACCTTCCTGCCAAGAAATATTGCAAATCTGATTAAAATTCTGTGGTCTTCATCTTAACATTTCTGCAGATATCTGAGCTGAACAGGGATCTCCATAATCAGCTTGCTTTAGGCAAAATACACTTGGTGGCTTTTTGTTGCACTATCAAACTATACAAATGATTTGCTTTTTAGGGAGATTTGTTTTGAGATTCTCATCCTCTATGCTTTCTGGTGTCACCTTTTTCACTTCTCTTGAAATGACAGTAATTTTCCCAGTGTTGTAAATGGCATGTGACTAAAGTATATTTCATTGCCTTTTGTTGAACAACTCAAACATCGGATGAATTGTACTAACAAACCTGATAAAAATAAGACTCTGGTTATCACTCCCCCCCCCTCCTGATGTGAAGTAGCTTCCTTAGCTTTCCATTATAAAAGCATTTCTTAGATGCATATGATTAACACCAATTTTCTCCCAGTAGGTTCTTCTAAATCAGAAATCTGAATTGCACAGATTTACTGGAAACTCTGCATCAATATTATTACTTCCACTGAGATTTTTCGCTTATAGTTTTTCAAAAAATGGGATTTGCAGACACAGAAACAGAGCCATTTAGACCATTGTTCTTAAAAATTTAGCCTGTCTGCACATTATATTTATTTAACTACTCACCCCCCCTTTATTCTTGGGTTTCTTTTTCTTTTTCTCAGGTTCTTTTTCTGTTGCTTCTGTATTCCACCAGGAATCAGAAGTGCCAATTCACACAATGTTCGCATTTATTAGCAACACTAAACAGGATACAACACCAAATGTAAGGTACTTTCCCTGCAGCAGAACGACTAATCTTCTGCACCATTCTCAATGGGACACATCAATTTGTTTAATGGTGCACAAGAATGTTAGGCTTTAGACTAGATACAATGAGAAATAATTCTTTGAAATTTCAAGACTGGAAGCAGCAAAAAGCGAGCTATTTAACTAAGAATTAGACTCAGTTGCGAAACAAACCATAATCTTGGTAAGAATACACCAGGTTTGAGTAAGAAAAACCTGGTGGATGATGATGTATCTGAACAAAAAAAAGAGAAAGAAAAAAGAATGTTAGGTCTGAAAATGAATAGGAGCAGAAACACCCTTCATTCATATTATTAAACTTAGATGAGGGGCATCTAATGGCTGCTCTGCACAATAAGAACTTGAGAACTAGACCTATGCCGAAAAAAATTACCTTGTTTCCATCCCAACCTTTGTCCATCACTTAATGTGAAAAGCAATTGCATTTGAAAATTCTCAAAGGGAAGAGGGAATTTCAGTGAAATTCTCATGTGTGAGGTGCTGTTCTTTTGTTTTGCTTACTTTACTCTTGAGGTGACCTGGAATGTTGTGAGTGTCCTTTCTTTCAGTCTGTAAATCAACTGTCCAGGGGTCTGCACTCCACAGGCTTTCAAAGTGCCTGCGCTTTGATCAAAGCACAGGGAAAACCTGTGGATTTATCCATTGGATGCATCCTTTCTGTGGAGCTTTTTCATAACAGGAGTTCTGGCAGCCAGGGAGGCTGCAGAGTGCTGGATAAAGGTTTACTGTAAAGAAAATGACGTGTACCATTCTTTTTCACTTTGTAAACTCAAATTTTGCCCCTAGGTAAAAACCCTGCTTCTAAAACAACAACAACAACAACACCCTGAACCAACTAAATAAATTTGCAAGTACATTGGAAGCTGCAGAGTGCTTAGAGGAATGCCTGTAGCACTGCTGTAGAACATCAACTTTGCATGCAAAAGGTCCCAGGTTTAATATCCAGATAGCTGAAAGAGACTTATGTCTGAAATCTTGGAGAGCTGCTGCCAGTAAGGAATCCTGAGCTAGGCGGATCATTAGTTTGTCAGATTATAAGGCAGCTTCCCATAGTGTGGCTCATTGATTGTTAGTGGGATCACTGACTGAGTGTTTGTGGGGGTGGGTGGGGAAAGTAAGGATTTGGCCCACCAGCCAGATTCAGCCCATCTCTGACTGAGTTAGATACAATTCTCTAGCAATATAGCCAGCTCAATGACTGCTTCATTTGATATTTGGAAGCCAGTTCTCTTGGGTCTGCAGTGTCCTCGTCTGGTAAGGAGTTGGAATCTTGGACCATTCACAGCTTCTGGCCAGGGTTGTGCTTCAGGTCTCATTGCCTGCACTGTCATGGCTAGTGAAATGGAAATTGCTGCAGTGTTTGTGGTCCAGAATAAAAAATCAGTCATGTGAATGTGATCAGTTTTTGTTCACGTCATTGTTTCAAAGTCCACAAATGATAAGGAATTAATTACTTTCTTTTTACATTGTTTTGACATTTCCTTTACATAAAAATGAACGGAAGTTGCTTATACAGTTGGGTATGTTATTGTACTACCAACCTTACTGTATGCTTGTGAAACATGGACCACTTATAAACGCCAGCTCCAACTTCTTGAAAGATTCCATCAACGGTGTCTCAGAAAATTTTTTATACATTACTTGGGAAGACAGGCGAACTAATACCAGTGTACTAGAAGAAGCAAAGATCACCAATGTTGAAGCAATGATTCTTCAACATCAACTTAGTTGGACTGGTCATGTTGTGCGAATGCCTGATTATCGTCTTCCAAAGCAACTACTCTATTCCAAACTTAAAAATGGAAAACGTAATGCTGGTGGTCAACAAAAGAGGTTTAAAGACTGTCTCAAGGCAAATCTAAAAAAATGTAATTTAAACACCAGCAATTGGGAAACACTTGCCTGCGAGCGCTCCAATTGAAGAACAGCCTTTACCAAAGGTGTCATGGGCTTTGAAGACCCTCAAACTCAGGACACAAGGGAGAAACATGCTAAGAGGAAGGCATGCTTGGCAAATCCACACCGTGATCAGCTCCCATCAGAAAACCAATGTCCCTACTGTGGAAGGATGTGTGGATCCAGAATTGGCCTCCACAGTCACTTACGGACGCATTGTTAAAACCGTGTTTATGGAAGACAATCTTACTCGGCTACGAATGATCGCCAAGAAGATCAGTTACCCAAGTTATGGTTAAGTATTGGACAGTGAGATGAATAACATGGTGTTTGGTGGAAACTGAAGTGCAGCAGAATGGAAATGGTGCTGATTGTGATGAATGCAGGCCAGAATGAAAATTGCTGCCTTCTTGAATCCCCATTGCGTTCCCCATCTCCTGAGTCCTCTTCCCAAAGTTTGAGCTTTGTCCCTGTGCCCCATGTCCTCAGTGCAGTACCCCCAACCCCCACATGTAAAGGTAAAGGGACCCCTGAGCATTAGGTCCAGTCGTGGCCAACTCTGGAGTTGCGGCGCTCATCTCGCTTTACTGGCCGAGGGAGCCAGTGTACAGCTTCTGGGTCATGTGGCCAGCATGACTAAGCCGCTTCTGGCGAACCAGAGCAGCACATGGAAACGCTGTTTACCTTCCCGCCAGAGCGGTACCTATTTATCTACTTGCACTTTGATGTGCTTTCGAACTGCTAGGTTGGCAGTAGTTCCAGCCTAATATGGGAGAGAGAGAAAGTAAGTAAGAAAGAAAACTCAGGCAAAGCTCAAGAAGGACTTGTGGAAGATTTGACTTTGCAACTTTGCTGTTGTTCGTTCCCTTTGGTATTATCTAAACCAAACTGAAGCAAATGGCTCCTTTCCATTACTTTGGTTCTCTGCCCTTCAGCTGTAGTACAAATTGAAAATGGAAGGAGGGAGGCGATGGGCGGGGAAATAGGTCCTTCCTTTCTGTTAAATAACCTTGCAGACTTTAATTTGAAACAAACAAAGCATTTTAAAGCACTGCTCCTTGGGGGATTGCACCGACTGTTACTAAATTGCTGAATATTTAACAGTCACACACATGCTCCAGACCCCAAGGTCTGTCCCCCAAATGATAAGCCCTTTTTTATTAAATGAACTTTAATTACTTAATAATTAGGCCTTCTGTAGGGGGAAGATGGGGATCTTGATAGGCTGCCAACCAGGCCGTAGGGCAAATCAGGCTTGCGTGCCATTTCCCGATTAGAATTTAAAAGCAGGTGTACTATTCTCCGAGACCCTGGTTAGGAGACAATCTTCCCTGAAGGGACAAAGACACAATGTGAAGTTGAGCTGTGGAAGACTTTGTCTTGACAGTTGCATCAATTAACAGAGCAAATGCTGCAGAAAAAAAAGTCAAAAAGGGGGGAGGAGGAGTTGGAGGATGAGGCTCGGATGAAGCATGAGCAAGTCAAATTTCTGGATTTTGCAATTCCAGAGCATGGCGGTACATAGGAAGTTGCCTTTAGCCAAGTCAGAGAATTGGTCAGTTTAATTCAGTACTGTCTACACCAGGGAATGTGTGGCACTCCAGATGTTGCTGGACTATAGTACCCATCATCCCTGACCATTAACCATGCTTTCTGGAGAAGATGGGAGTTGTAATCTAACAACATCTGGCAGCCAAAGGTTCTCAGTCCCTGGCAATGGCTCTGCAGGGTTTTTGGTGGGGCATATTCCTAGTCTTTCCTGAAGACGTCAGGAATTGAACTTTCTGCATGCAAAGCATGTGTTCTTTTCCTAAGCTTGAGACCCCCTCCAGTAACACCTGAAGGGAGACGTACAGTGGTACCTCGGGTTACAGATGCTTCAGGTTACAGACGCTTCAGGTTACAGACTCTGCTAACCCAGAAGTAGTACCTTGGGTTAAGAACTTTGCTTCAGGATGAGAACAGAAATTGCACGGCGGCAGCAGGAGGCCCCATTAGCTAAAGTGGTACCTCAGGTTAAGAACAGTTTCAGGTTAAGAACGGACCTCCAGAACGAATTAAGTTCTTAACCCGAGGTACCACTGTACATGTTTCTTCTACAGGGATTGGCACAAGCTTGAGATGTGAGTACTCTGTGGAGGGTTGCATGAGCTTCCTCTTCTGCACATCGCTCCAGAAGGACACAAAGAGCACACACGAGAAGTGGCCACCTACAATGGAGCACAGGCCCATCTAGTTTTATAGCACCCTGTTTTCCAATAATAGCTTATCAGATGCTTTTGAGAAGACCATAAGCAGGGTAGAAGGGCAACAGTCGTCTCCTGTTCCTTGCCTCATTGCGCAGAGATATACCGGCTCTGAATATGGAAGCTGATTGCTATCCATATACCTGTATTTGAATATTGTAGTTCAGTAAAATAAAAGAGACACTTGTGTTAAGGTTTGCCAGAATGCCCCATTTCCTGACTTATATTTATTTAGTATTGCATTCCTCCAAGGGGCAAGGTGGCATACATAATTATCCCTTTTGAGCTACGTTATGCTGAGGGATTGTGACTGGCCCAAGGTCACCCAATGAGCTTCATGACTGAGTGGAGATTGGAATCCTTTTCTCCTGGGTCCTTTCCCAACACTTTACACCACACTGGCTTTCCACTCCAGTCTTCAATACAGAAATCCTCTTGGCAAAATAGCTTTTGTGTTTGTTTTATTATATATCCTATGGTTTTGAAAACACACTTTTGATTGACAAAGTGTTGTCTTCCAAGACAAATAATACATGTGCAGATATCAAGTCTTGTATGGCATCAAAACAAACATGGAAAATCTTACATTACAAATTCAGCTCACATCCACAGGGTATACTTCAATCTTAAGCATTAAGACAATTCTCCATAGTGGCTGCTGTGACAGAAGGGAGATTACTGTACTATTTTTAATAAATGATATAAATTGAGACCATACAGCGTCGAACCCATCTTTCTTTGTTACCACTCTTGTCATCCTATTATTATGAATTAAGCGCTCCTTAAGTGCTATCTTCCACACATATTGGGTCCAGGTTTCTGTGGTGGAAGGTGGTGCTTTTTCTAGTTGGAAACAATGGTTTGCCTTATTGCTGTCATGAGAAAGAAGTTCAACTCTTTATGCTTGACCATTGGATTGATAGATTTTTTTCATAAACATCAAGGCTAGCATGGGTTCGGGTACAAGATGCTGCCTTATAATGGTGAATGGTAGTGGGGGGAAATGGGTCTAGAAGTCTTTAAGAAATGTACACTCCCACCACATGTGGAAAAGCATTCCATTAAGCTTATGTCCTCTCCAGCATGAAGATGGGAAAGTGCAATTAACTCTTGAAAGGTATAGAAGTGTCCAGTGCCATCTTTAAAGAGACTTCATGCAATTTAGCCAAGATGGTAACTCTGGAAGTGTATACTCTATACCAGCAATGTCCAACCGGTCGACTGCAATCGACAGGTCGACCGTTGGGGTGCTCCAGGTCAATCACGTGAGTAAAAAAAGTGATTGCCTTCTTTCTCATGAGCGATCGTGACGTGCCCCACCCCCTGCGCTATGCATTGTGAAAGCTTGTAATCACTGAGCCTGCTTCAGAGTGGTGGAAGGAGGAAGGGTGCTGGAGCGCCGGGTGATTGATTTTATGCAATCCTCCTGAAAAAAAGCTCAATAGCTCTGTCCCCCACCCCAAAAGGTCAACAACTCTGCTCACTCCCCCCTAAAAAAAGCTCAACAACTATGGGCAGTGACAATGGGTAGATCACTGCCAGTTTTATTATACTGGGAGTAGATCGCAGTCTCTATAGAGTTGGACGTGCCTGAGTCTATACTGACCAAAGTTAGCTTCCTGGTGTATATTGTACTCTAGGAGGCTTGGTTTGGTCAGAATCAAAGTATACACTTCCAGAGCTAACACTAAATGCATTACTATGGGTAAATGAGCCACCATAGACGCTAGTGGGCTGTGAAAATTTGTGTCTCAGGCTTTTTAGACTCGTCTACCCATGTGCTATCTGAAACCAAGGGGGCACATTGGTTGTCAAATTTGATTCCCCCCCCCCCAGCTTTCCTACCCCACTTCTACAATAATTACTTGGTAGTTTTATTTTCACTGTATTTTTAAAATGATCCCTATTATGGAATTCACCTTTTTCACAGCTGCCATGCATCTTGATGGATATTGTTCATAAACTACTTCTGAGCCATAGTTTCGTTCAAAAAATATGGTACAAAGTAAATAGGTTAACCTAATTTAGACTTGAAGAGCAATTAAGTGAAACCAAACCAGCAGGAAACAAGGGGAAAATACACTTCTGCATTTTAGATCTTCTTTTCAACTAGTGTTTTGTTTCTGTTTCCACAGGTCCGTTGAGGTTTCTATCCCAGACAGACTCCGTCACAGCATTTACAGGAGACACTGTTTTGTTAAAATGCGAAGTCGTGGGGGAACCTATGCCAACCATCCACTGGCAAAGGAACCAAGAAGATCTGGTTTTGAATCCTGGTGATACCCGTGTGGCAGTTCTGCCTTCTGGATCTTTACAAATTAGCAGAATTCAAGCAGGGGATGGTGGGATCTATAGATGCCTTGCAAAAAACCCTGCCAGTTCAAGAACTGGAAACGAGGCAGAAGTCAGAGTTTTGTCAGGTAAGAAGCTTTAAAAATATATGTAAAATCACTCATTAAAGTTATGGCATTGAAGTCTGATTACATCTGGTTTGCAATGCAAATTTACCCACCAATATGTGAATATCTTTAGAAGTGAACCTGCGAATATTGACCTTTTTTTGCAATTTAAATTGTAAGTATTACGAGCTTACGTGCCTGGTTTGTGCCACTGTGGTCTCTTCACAAGGGCAGAGCATGCAACATGTAAATGTGACCTTTGCAAAAGCAAATCCCATGAATACCTTCCCAGAGCACTGGGGGGAGGGGAAATGTCTTGCTTCAAGAAGAACCAACCAACCAATATATGGTGTTCTCAACTGCAGCCTTTGAATTTATTTCCCAGCTTCTCATGGGACCCTGGAACTATTCAATTTCCGTCTTCATTTCTGAACCACTATGTGGTCAAGGTGGGGTAGCGGGCTTTGTGCTGACCTACTACAAATAAATATAATTTTGAAGTACTGGTGTAAAAACAACCAAAAACAAAAACTGCAGATCTGTTTGATGCAGATAAGAAAATATTGTTACTCAGTATACTATATATTATTGGGGAGAGTCAATGTGGTCCAAATGAGGGAGTGTTGCAGTATGATATTGGATTTAAACCCCACTTCTGCCTCGAATTTTGGGTAACCTTGGCACTGCCATTCACTTTACTTCAGTACCTCCTGCTTAAAATGGGATTAATGGTCTGGTTGCTTGTAGAATAGCTTTGAGAGGTGCCTGGGGCAAACTTACCTTGTGAAGCAAATATGCCACAGAAATAGTTGGCAGTAACAGAGTTATTCTCTCCAAATCTGGCATAGCAACACAGGTACATGTTTTGTGCTTCTTGAACCTATAAATGAAATGGAAGCGCAGCTACCCTTGGAAATTCACACTTCTCAGAGCTCTTTGATTTCTCCATCCAAAATGTGTACACCAAAGTGCATGCATTTGTGAAGACAATGTACAAAACTACATCCTATTATGGGGAATTCGCCAGCAAAAAGGTTAATATTGGGCAAAGGTGTGTCTAAAACTGCAGACATTCAGAGAAATGTACGCAAAATGCAAAAGTTTTGAATAGTCTTTTTTAAAAAGAAAAGTAAACTTCATAAGTTGATACAGAAATGGAATTCAAATCTACTTGGTACTGAGCTGAAGATGGGGGAAAATAAGAATCTGAAAGAAACTGAAAGTGACAGATTCATCCATCCCTGTCCTTGCTAAATAAACTCTGAAATATAGGATGTTTTTATCTGAGAGAAGTAAAGTTTGACAGTTTCAGACTTCTGCTTTGTTTTCTGACGGGTTTCCCCAAAGAGCAATGGTTTTCAATGCACTAGCTAACTTCATTTGAAATGCCCCTCACTTCTTCAGGGCTGAGAAATGTCATTTGGACCAGGCAATCTGAATTGACACTTCCAAGACTTGAGGAGAAATAACAGTGGTTGTTGAATGGTCCAACATGCTTTCAGCACTAGAGGAATATTTTCAGGCATAGGAAGAGAACAGAAACTAAGAGAGGCCTAGGGAACTTGATATGGCCAACTGGTCAAATCCCAGTCTCCCCCATCACCCAAATGTGACATATAGGTGTGACTACCCTCCTGTCAATCACTGGTGTCATAATGACACCCAAAAAATGACACCTGTCAAAATTCAAAGAAGGTTGTCAATCAACTGATTGGCGCTGGGAGGATGCCTTCAAAGAGGCTCCCTCTAACTGCTGATCAGCTGATTGACAGTTGCAGGGAACCCCTTTAAAGTCCCCACAAATGGCCAAATGGGAAGGCTTGAAGGACCTAATTTGCTCCATGGGCTGGAGGTTCAACCTGCCACTGATGCATTATTTTCAATTACCTCAATTTTTAAAAGCTTTTCATACAGGTATTTTTTTAAAGAAAGCAAACAAATAATTGAGGACCGTGCAGCTCTTTTGTGTAACTATTCCCCCCCATTTATTACTAACGATATTGCATCATCATTAGCGGAAGATGACAACGAGCCTTTTCCAGTTTTTGTTTTCCTCGAGTCTTTTCTCTTTTGTCTCTTCACTCCTAATGGAAAGAATTACAATTCAGAGACAATTCCAAGGCAATCAATGGAGCAAAAATGAAGAAAACCTTGTTAGTCTATTTCTTGTTTAACATTCTGGAGTCAATTGGCTTTTTAGATGATTCACTTCTATGCATAAAGGTGTTAATGGGGATGGGGGAGGGAGAGGGGATGAGATGGATACAAAGCAGCATTAAGAACAATAAAATAAAATTGCCATTCCATCTACAAAAAACACCCCCAACAAAACAAAATAAAACCAGAACAAGACAACAACAGGCTTTGCATATAAAGAGCTTGATGGTTGTTAAGCAACAGCTACATTAGATGAGCAGAAATTAAAACTTCACAGCTCCTTAAACACCACATAAAGCACCCCGGGTCCCAGTCAGCACTGGAAGACTTCATTCCCATTCAGGAGAACTGCTTTAGCATTTAAGCACAAAGGCATCATCATTAGGCTGAATAAATTCTCTGAGACATGTCTCAGTTATAGCGACCCTCCATACCAAAAGTCTATTTTTTTAATACCTTATAGAAAGGCATTACACACACCCCACAGGCCTGTTGGTGTGTGTGTTTATAATCACCCTATAAATCTTGCTCTGTGTTTGTGTGTGTCGTGGGAGGTTCAAGAAAGTGGTTAAGCTCACCCACACAAAACAGTACTTTGAAGCAGAGTTGTTTTACTTGGCACACACAAAACACACACTCTATATTTACACACTGCATACAGGGTACACAAAGGCTTTTCTCCTGTCTGGTTCCAGAGGGGTTTCTGTACTTCAGAGTCCTTGCTGAACAAAGTCCACATCCAAGTTCTAAGTCAATTTGCAGAGAGTCCTGCCACGACTCTGAGTCCTGAAGTCTGACAATTCCCCAAGTCTTCTTCTCAGATGAGCTCTTCTCAAAATGTTCCAATAACTCTGCAGCTCCACAAGGACCCACTTCTTCCTGATAATGACCAATGACTCATGTCCCATGCAGTAATCTGAGCCCTTTAAATAGAAAGGTATTGTCAGGGAGAAGACAGGAGTGGCTGGCGTGCTCTGGTCCATGGGGTCACGAAGAGTCGGACACGACTAAACAACAACAACAACATTGTCAGGGAACTGCCATCAGTTCAGGTGGGAGAGAGGAAAAGCCGGATGGATTACAGAGAGCCCCCAAAGATCGTGGAAAGCAGCTCCTCCTCGCCAGGGGAGAGTAACCACACCTCCAGTGGAGAGGAGCTGTAGGGTTCGGAGGAGGCGAGGCGTTGCCAGGACACCTTGCCTGGGCAAAGCGGGGAGGGGAGAGGTCCACCATTACCCACGCCCTACTTGCACAGTAAGGTTTCACGCAGAGAGGGGAGGCGCAGACTGAGCATCAAGAAATTACTTTGCTGGGGAAAGTTTAAGCCCCACCCACTCACGGATTCTGCCAGTGAATGAGTCAGCCACAGGAGAGTGGCACTCTGGACAGATAAATTTTATTTTGCATCAAAAGCAAGGCTTCACAGCCAAGCAGGGAGGTACTTGCCTGCTTGCTCTCGAGCAACCCCTTGGAAACCTAACAGGTATGTACCTAATCTGCCCAGTAATACTAATGAGGAAGTCACCAGATTCAGCCAGGTACATCTCAGGAATGAGCTAGCTCTTTCCTCACTAACTAATTGACTTAGAACTTGACTCCCACTAACACACATACCGCAACAAGCATTTTTCTACTGTCTACTAACAGCACATTTTTAGGCTTTCTGCTCTATGGGCAGCATAACCAATCCACCAAGAAAATCTCCATTACAAGTAACATTGATATTAATAGTATTTTGTATGGGGTTCTTAGGCAGTTGCCATGGCCCTTTAGCACTTCTTGGCTGCCGTGTTTTTCAAGCCAGACCACGGAGACTGCCAGTCTCTTTACTGAGCCAATTGCAAGCAGTGTCAGCTGGTGTGACACGAAGTCTGTCCTATTTTGCTTCTGATACCTAATCACAACTGATTGCATGCCTTCTTACATTGCAAAGAAGACAAAGGCTGGGACGGGACCCGTGGATATGTTTGCCATTCACTCAATAGATGTATTAATCCCATGGTAGGTGATTTTGAATGTTCTAATAACAAACTATATCTGAAAGTCACCTTGAAATGTATGGAATTGGTTCAGTTGATTAATTAATTGCTTTAATGGGATTTTATGAAACTGAGATGCTTATTTGGGCAACTTTTTAATTAGACTGAACTAACTTCCCTTTATAAAACAATATTTGGATGAGCCAGCTCAGCCCAGCAGTTCCATTGACCAAAGCATTGCTTAGATCCCCTAATTATTATTATTATTATAATTGCTTCCAGCGGTTTGAGACCTGTGGGCACTGCCCGGCTATATATATATATATATATATATATACACACACACAGTGGTACCTCGGGTTACATACGCTTCAGGTTACATACGCTTCAGGTTACAGACTCCGCTAACCCAGAAATAGTGCTTCAGGTTAAGAACTTTGCTTCAGGATGAGAACAGAAATCGTGCTCCAGCGGTGCGGCAGCAGCAGGAGGCCCCATTAGCTAAAGTGGTGCTTCAGGTTAAGAACAGTTTCAGGTTAAGTACGGACCTCCAGAACGAATTAAGTATTTAATCTGAGGTACCACTCTCTCTCTCTCTCTCTCTCTCTCTCTCTCTCTCTCTCTCTATATATATATAAAATCAACCCCACAATATTTGGATATTGTAACCAGTGGAGGCTTTTCACTAGAGCTCCTGTGTGCCCTCCCAATGAGAATGTTAGGCAGTTTTGTAAAAATCCCCTCCAATACCAAACCCCACTCCTGTCCTACAAAACGAATTAAGTACTTAACCCGAGGTACCACTATATTGTCCTTTGTTCTTTTTCTCTTTGCTGTTTGATGCTAGAAAGAGAGGGAGCCATGTTGCAGTGCTTTGTGTGTGTTTATATGTAAATAAAATAGCTTAGCCAAAATGCTGAGTTGCTGAGGTCTGTTACGCAAGCTGTGAAGACTGAGGATTCCTAAGTGTGCCGATGTCTGTTGGCATTGGTTGCTGTGATGTTCAGGCTGAAGAAAGCTAATGAAGCTCCTGAACGATCGACCAGGAGGGAGAGAACATGCCAGTTGGGCATGTGTCTCTGCCAGGGTCCTGCTTGAGTGTAGGACCAGCTCCTGTCTTCTTAGCTATCTGTCTATCTAGCTGAAGCATAAACATCATGAAGTTTTCTATAGGACTGAGCTGACACTTCTCTGAAATGAATTCTCTGGTGGTGGTTGCTGCTGCTGCTGCTTTTTCGTCATCAAGCTCCTCCTGAACAGTAGGAAAATTCAGCCTTTCCCCAGAGAATATGAAATAAAATACCCTGCCCCAGTTTCTCCACCTGTGAATAGAAAAGATCCAGTTTGATATTGCTTAATATTTCAGCAAGCCCCACACTTGGATGGCTTTCAGTGATGATAATACAAATTCAGAAAGGATAGGGCCATCAGTGGCTACTAGCTATGATAACTATGTTCTACCTCCACTGTCAGAGACTTCCTACTTCTGAATACCAGTTGAAAATGAGCAGAGCACTGCTACGTTCCTTTCCAGCTTGCAGGCTTCCCACAGGCATCTGGTTGGCCACTGTGAAAACAGGAAGTGAGCTATTGGCCTGATCACACAGTCTCTTCTTATGTTCGTAAGCAATGAGCTTGGGTACATAGTCCTTCCAACCCTCCTTTCTTAAGGCTGCATTCGACTCAGTCATACCCAATGGAATCTAGGGAGTCAAGTTAGTCACTCCCATCAATCTCAAAAGGTCCACTCTGAATATGACTTATTTGGGATCAACCCATAGCCCATGTGAACTAGCCATTTCACTTGATGAATCTCCCTGAGAAACAACTCCCAAGTTTGCCATAACTTTAGGTCCCCCTCCCCTTTTTTGCTGTCAGTTCTAAATAGGATTCCACACCCATCCCTAGAACTTTGTTCCAATACAAGCATTATTCACTCTGAATGACAAGATAGGTGAACAAAAAGAAACACAGACATGACCACACATCCTTTGGCAGTGAGTCACTTTGGGATGAAATTGCTCCATGAACTCACAAGAATAATAGAGTTATAAGAGCCAGAATGAATAGCTGTCGGGAAAGAGCTGACTTTCACTCTGTCTACACAGAGCACATTGACCTGTGGCCAGGTGAGGGTTTTGTCCACTGACGATTAAAGAAATCTGCACCTGTGTGATCAATCTGAGATTGATAGGATTGCTGTTCTTTGCTTAAGATATGCGAAGCACCGGCCTGAGTCACAGCAAGAGGCTTAAGGGTGTCATGTAATTTGGAGCTGAATCTATTTGAAGAAGGAGATGATACTCAGAGGTTCCACAGCAGACTGAACTCTGTGTGCTTTGATGCGATGGTTGGCGGAGGTATCGCCCAAAAGGTTACCTGACAAACGTGGGACTTTATTGTTTGCTTTGATTCACTTTGCAATGTGCAGGCTTGGAAAGCAATCAAAAAGAACAAGGAGCCTGTTGCTGGGTGTTTTGCTGGCTATTTCAAAAAAGTCAGCCCTCTTCACATCTGAAACCCACATACTTCCTAACTGCCCCACTCTCGCTTCTGGTTTATCTTTGCTTCTCAGTAATAATAATAATAATAATAATAATAATAATAATTTATTATTTATACCCCGCCCATCTGGCTGGGCCTCCCCAGCCACTCTGGGCAGCTTCCATAGAAACCAAAAATACACTAAAATATCACACGTTAAAAACTTCCCTGAACAGGGCTGCCTTAAGATGTCTTCTGAATGTCAGGTAGTTGTTTATCGCTTTGACATCTCGTGGGAGGGCGTTCCACAGGGCGGGCGCCACTACCGAGAAGGCCCTCTGCCTGGTTCCCTGTAGCTTTGCTTCTCGCAATGAGGGAACCGCCAGAAGGCCCTTGGCGCTGGACCTCAGCGTCCGGGCAGAACGATGGGGGTGGAGACGCTCCTTCAGGTATACTGGACCAAGGCCGTTTAGGGATTTAAAGGTCAGCACCAACACTTTGAATTGTGCTCGGAAACGTACTGGGAGCCAATGTAGGTCTTTCAAGACCGGTTTTATATGGTCTCGGCGGCCGCCCCCAGTCACCAGTCTAGCTGCCGCATTCTGGATTAGTTGTAGTTTCCGAGTCACCTTCAAAGGTAGCCCCATGTAGAGCGCATTGCAGTAGTCCAAGCGGGAGATAACCAGAGCATGCACCACTCTGGCGAGACAGTCTGCAGGCAGATAGGGTCTCAGCCTACGTACCAGATGGAGCTGGTAAACAGCTGCCCTGGACACAGATTTGACCTGTGCCTCCATGGACAGCTGTGAGTCCAAAATGACTCCCAGGCTGCGCACCTGGTCCTTCAGGGGCACAGTTACCCCATTCAGGACCAGGGAATCCTCCACACCTGCCCGCCTCCTGTCCCCCCAAAACAGTACTTTTGTCTTGTCAGGATTCAACCTCAATCTGTTAGCCGCCATCCATCCTCCAACGGCCTCAAGACACTCACACAGGACCTTTACCGCCTTCACTGGTTCTGATTTAAAAGAGAGGTAGAGCTGGGTATCATCTGCATACTGATGAACACCCAGCCCAAACCTCCTGACGATCTCTCCCAGCGGCTGCATGTAAATGTTGAAAAGCATGGGGGAGAGGACAGAACCCTGAGGCACCCCACAAGTGAGAGCCCAGGGGCCTGAACACTCATTCCCCACCACCACTTTCTGAACACGACCCAGGAGGAAGGAGCGGAACCACTGTATGACAGTGCCCCCAGCTCCCAGCCCCTCAAGACGGTCCAGAAGGATGTTATGGTCGATGGTATCAAACGCCGCTGAGAGATCCAGCAGAACTAGGAAACAGCTCTCACCTTTGTCCCTAGCCCGCCGGAGATCATCAACCAGTGCGACCAAGGCAGTTTCAGTCCCATGATGAGGCCTGAATCCCGACTGGAAGGGATCCAAATGGTCCACTTCTTCCAGGCGTGCCTGGAGTTGTTCAGCAACCACTCGCTCAATCACCTTGCCCAAGAATGGAAGATTTGAGACTGGGCGATAGTTGGCCATCGTGGCCGCATCTAAAGATGGTTTTTTAAGAAGCGGTTTAATAACCGCCTCTTTCAGTGGGTCTGGGAAGGCTCCCTCACGGAGGGAAGCATTCACCACCCCACGAAGCCCATCGCCCAGTCCTTCCCGGCTAGCTTTTATAAGCCAGGATGGGCAGGAGACAGGTGGTTGGCTTCACTTGTCCAAGCAGCCTGTCCACATCCTCGGAGGTAACAGATTGGAATTGATCCCACGCAACTTGACTAGACAGGTCTCTAGCACTCTCCCACCCCGGCCCTGCTCCCACGGTGGAGTCTACTTCTTCCCGAATCTGAGCGATTTTATCTGCAAAAAACTTTGCAAAATCATTGCAGGAGAACATGTGGCCCGTACTGGGCCCCGATGTCGCAGGTGGTTCCGCTAAATTGTGAACCACCTGAAAAAGTCTCCTGCTGCTGTTTTCTGCAGATGCAATAGAGGCGGTGAAGAAATTCTTCTTCGCCGTCGCTATCGCCACTTGGTAGGCTCGACATTGAGCTCTAACCTGTGTCCGGTCAGATTCGGAATGAGTTATCCGCCACCGGCGCTCTAGCCGTCTCAACAATTGTTTCATTGCCCTCAGATCCGTGGAAAACCATGGGGCTGTCCGGGCTTCATGCAATCGGAGAGGGCACTTCGGAGCCAAACAGTCAATAGCTCTGGTTAACTCCACATTCCAGCGGGCCACCAGGGAATCAGCTGAAAGGCCATCAACATGGGATAAAGCATCCCCTACCAGGATTTCATCTTTTGTCCAGGACTCCTTGCCTTGCCTGTGTGTGTGTGTGTGTGTGTGTGTGTGTGTGTGTTTAATGAGGCCCTTCCTATTGTTTTCGATTCCCCTCAACACTTTCTGTCGGCCTCCTGTTTTCTCTTCCCCTGCCTTAGATCTGAACACCTCTGCCAGAGACATGGCTTAGCTGAGGTCTTACAGAGTGCACAGCTCAGGAGTTAAACAGCTGCCATGAATCTCCACCAGCATCCCCAGGTGTGGTGGGAGAGACTCTGCCTGAAACCCCGGGGAGCTGCTGCCAGTCAGTGTAGACCAGTGTTTCTCAAATTTGGGTTTCCAGCTATTGTTGGACTACAACATCCCTAGCTAGCAGAACCAGTGTTCAGGAATGATGGGAGTTTAGTGCAGCAACAGCTGGAGACCCAAGTTTGAGACCATTAGTGTAGACAGTGCTGAGCTAGGTGAACCAATGATCAGATTCAGTATAAGGCAGCTTCTTGGGTACCCCTCTCAGGGTCTATCTCCACCACCTGAGGCACTGCAGGGATGCTGCCCAGCCTTGGAAGCAAACACTTATTGTCTCTTGGTGGATTCTTGATGCACCATGAGACAGGAGTGTGCCCAGCTGAATCATTCTTAAGGATGTGGTTCTGTGGTTCACATAAATCAGGCTTGAGTTCAAATAAGTCCATGGGTGTGATGACTCAGAGTCAGGTTCATAGCTATCACCTTGGGTTAAGTATCAACAAAACTGGTTGACTTTTTTCAGGTGGTTTCTATGGTTTTAAGCCTTGGGTATCATTCATGGCTAGGGCCATGACACTGCTTGCCCAGCACATTGCCTGTGACATCAGGACAGCTCAACCAAATCACTACTGTTTCCATAAAATCCCAAAGCACTATCAATGGTATCTTCTAGAGCAGGTGTGAGGAACTTTTGGTCTTCCAGATGTTACTGAACTACAGCTGCCATCAACCATGACAGTTGGCCATGCTGGCTGGGCCTGATGGGAGCTGTATTTAGCAATATTTGGAGGACCACTTCTAGATCATTTTTACCCTGCTGTTCAGTGAGCTTACATACAATTTGATAACAAAACATATAAACTGTTTTGTGACTGTGAACTTCTCTTGTGCCAGTTGTTTCACAAATGAATGCAGGACAGAGTGAGGACAAATTGAAAAAAAATGAGATGGGTTACTAGAGAGAGGACCTTTTCAGTATTGGTACCCCACAGTGGTCTTCCTAGTGCCCACTTGATGACCTTTTTAGGTGCCAGGTGCATGCATTTTCAGTCTCTCTCTCTCCCCTGCTTTTTATACATATATTTTATGGACGTCATTTTCTGTTGCTAGTCCTATTCTGGGTGAGATTATAATTTCCTTTCCTATTTTATGATTTTTTAGTATTTACTTGGGAGCCACCCAGAGGGCACTTGTCATTGGGTGGCGTATAAACATTGGAAATAAATAAATAGACAAATGAATGAATGAATGTAAATAAATTAAAACACTATGTGTTTACAAACTGAAAGACATTACATAAAATGGGAGGGTGGTGAGAAAGGAAGGGGGGAATTGATTACCAATAGTAGTTCTAAAGTCAGCTGGAATGGAAACCGTTCAAAGACAGAAGGAACTCAGTGGAGTTCGTCTTTCAGCAGACCCTCTCCTTTCCATCGCTTCTGTGGCTTCAGCCTGCTGACAAATGACAGCTGAAGGAGAGACATCTTACTGGGCCTGGGCCTTTCAGTGGAGTTGATGAAATGTGTCCTGCTTATTCGCTGCAAGTCCACTCTGCAGTGTATGGGGGAGAAAACAAACACACACACACACACACACACACACACACACACACACACTAAACATGGGATAATGTGAAGATCTTGCTATGCATTCTTTGCCTGTGTAAGAGACTTAAAATATTTAAAACCACCAAATGCACTTGAGTGATAAGCAGCAAAGGCTTCTCTTTTCCTTCCTTCCTAGGCTTGTTACTTTTTCAATTCATGTATTATGAATACTAATAACCCGGCCTTCACCGTGTGGTCCAAGGGCAAGGAACATATGGAATCAATCTAGCAAATGAAAACAACATACAACATATGTTATGTGCAAGTTCTGCCTTCCAGCAGATTGAGGTGTTCTCAGATTCATAGAGATATAGGAAGCTGTTCAGATCATTGTTCAATCTTACTCAGTTTTGTTTACACTGATTGGCAGCTACTGTTCAGAGATCCAGGCAGGGCACATTCCCAGTCCAATGTGGAGATGCCAAGAATTGAACTGGTGTGCAAAGCAGGTAAAGGTAAAGGTAAAGGGACCCCTGACCATTAGGACCAATCGTGGATGACTCTGGGGTTGCGGCGTTCATCTCGCTTTACTGGCCGAGGGAGCCGGCGTACAGCTTCCAGGTCATGTGGCCAGCATGACTAAGCTTTCGAACTGCTAGGTTGGCAGGAGGAGGGACAGAGCAACGGGAGCTCACCCCGTCATGGGGATTCAAACCGCTGACCTTCTGATCGGCAAGCCCTAGGCTTTGCGGTTTAACCCACAGTGCCACCCGTGTCCTGTATGCAAAGCACAGACTCCACTATTTAATAATAATAATAATACCACCTCATTTTGAGAAGAAATACCAAGCCAGTTCACAAACATGCAAAAGCCAACAGCAGAATAGCAAGCAAAACTGAATTATAAAAATATAACTACCCATAATTAAAGCACGTAGTAGAACAATTTCATTAAAATATCCATAATTAAAATGTATAATAAACAAGCTCATTAAAATAGCATAACAGTTAAAATGATGATTTCTGCCCCCCACTCTTTCCCCTCCCACATGCTCTGCCTCTTTTATAAGTTGCAAGCCTATGGCAAGAACTTGTCAGCATGCCAGGTCCAGAAACAAAGGAGCCCCATGGTTTATAGACAAAGGTGAACACCTTTTCAAAGCTACTCACAATATCGTATATACAAAATAAAATGCAAGGTAAAACAGTTTAGTGATACAAGATGTGGCCAAGTTGTACTTCAAGGAAAGCCTGAATAGATGTGTATGTATTGACCACATGGGCAAAAATGGTTCACCTGGTGTCATTCTAATGTCAGGCAATTGGCAGCTGTTTGCACCCACATGGCAAGCTTGGCCTATGGAGGTGGTGGAGATAAGATTCTGGTCCATGAGCATTATCCAGCTCCCTACCCATGTTCTTGAGGCACCAAAGCATAATGCTGTGTGTAGGTGTTTACCCAGTGTCCAAAAGGAAGGAATTATGTTAGGCAAGTGCTAGTGAGGTCCTGAGAGGCTAGCGCTACATTCACACTTGATGAATGGCAGCAAATTATGTCAGAACTTGAAGTGAGGGAACATGTGATGCTCCACAGGTGAGGAACACTTGAGAAAATACTAAATCAGTCAGCATACTCGACCTGGCTCTTTTGATGAAAATTATGATGCTCAAAGACATGCATCTTCAACAACTATCTGGCCTTAGCAATCTTTCTGTCCATTCTTTCTTTCTTTATTCTTTTCTATTTCTCTTCTCTTTAGTGGTCCAAATTCAACTAAGCTTTCCCATCTCAAATTTCCTTTTGACCTGTTATCCCTGGGAGCGGACCATTACCTCTATGGGAAGGGAGGGGAAGCCTTTCAAACCATATTCCCTGTATAGGGGAGTTTTTAATGTTTAATGTTTTATTATATTTTTGTATATGCTAGAAGCCACCCATAGTGGCTGGAGCAACCCAGTCAGATGGGCGGGATACAATTAATATTATTATTTATTTATTTTCTGGGCAACCTTCCATGGCTCTCTAGAGAGTGATGTGAGTGGTCAGAGGCAAAGTGGGCAGGGCATAAAACACACATGCTTTGAGCAATGGGCTAGTTTGTACACAAACTCACACACATTTCTCTAGCTTCCATCCAGCAGCACTATCAAGAGTTCAAGGGCACTCATGCAAAAACAACTGGGAGAAAATGTAGGGCTGAGGCAATATCTCCCCCAATAGCCCACACTCTGGCGACTAGCAGAAAGTGCTGTGTAAGCCATTTATGCCAGAAAGTCAGTCACAAGAAGATGAGCTAACTGGTGTCTTCTATGCCGGGAAGTCCGACACGCATCTGTCAGACGGGGTGAGCTAACTGTGTCTGTTTTTAAATTTGCACGTTTGCAGTTTGGGCAAGAAATCTGCACATGGTCGTAGTTTGGGGCAGACAGGACATGAGGTGGGGGAAGCTAAAAAGTTCTGTTTCTCTTGCCTACATGAGTATGGTTCTGCTTTCTTTCTTTCTTTACATGAGTATGGTTCTGCTTTTCTTTGAGTAAGCCTGTAAGAAGTTGTTTGTCGCATACTGTTATGTACTGAGTTGAATAGGATACAAAATGCAGCAGTCTGATTGGTCCTAGAACAATAGGATTCAGAATGCAGCAATCTGATTGGTCCTAGAACAATAGGATCCAAAATGCAGCAGTCTGATTGGTCCTAGAACAATAGGATCCAGAATGCAGCAGTCTGATTGGTCCTAGAACAATAGGATCCAGAATGCAGCAGTCTGATTGGTCCGCAGGAGCCACCCAATCCAACTCCAGGTGGAAGTGAATCCGCAAGCTGATTGGCCTACAGGAGAATCCCTGAATTAGCCAATCACGTGGGGCCCATTGTGTAAATAATGTATATAAAGCAGGCATTTCAGGGGAACTTCCATTCCTCACTACTGTGAACTGAAAAAAGAGCATGAAATCCACACTCAACTCCTAGTATATTTCACATACTATAAAAGGAAGCTATAGAGAACAAGGAGGGGCTCAGACTTTGGGAGAGATCCCACTGCAGCCCCTGCACAGGTGAATAAATTCTGACCCGGTGTCTGTCTTTATTGACAATAAAGGGCCAGTGAGGGGTGTGGGTTGGGGCAATAGGCTGTGACCTTCAGAAAGTTCCAGTGGCCACATAAAGAGGCCTGAAGAGGCAGGTTTCCAGGTCTGAGGTTTCCCATCCCTGCTTCGTGGCTTCTCACTGACACCTGGTTGGACACCATGGGATCAGGTAGATCAGTGCTCGGCTCCAGTATGGTGAAACGTGTTTATATTGAAAGAGGTATTACCACATATTAACCTGTCTTGGAGCCAGGAAGGCCAGCCTGCATGCCACAGAGAGCAGAGTGTATCCTTTTCTTCACAAACAAGGAAAAAACAATAACAAGCACTTAATAATAATAAAAAAGGAGCCTGACTTTGCTCCAGTGAACATTAACTCCAGAGTTCATGGAGTATGAATTCAACATGCTTGATTGGATTAATGCAAAAAAATAAATAAATAAAAATGTTAATCTAATATTTTTGTCTTGCCTCTGGTTAAAACAGCCATAAATTTGATAATGCATTTTTGAAAACACTCTCTGAGTGAGATCACAGTATGAATTTGATTATCCTTTTACCTGCTTATTGCTTTATCCTGTTCCTTATCACATCATTTAGTTGGCTTTGTGGAGCCTGGCTTGAATTTCCATCATGAGAGCAGGGTGGGGAGGGAGTCAGACCTCCAGACAGGTTGCTCGCACTGTGGTTATACACCTTAATGCATTATATAAATTGAGAGATGAGTATCGCTTTAATGACGGATTTCTCTATTGTGGTTTACAGTAGGTTTCCTTCCCTAGTTGGATTAGCAACACAGCCCCCAAGGCCCAATGGCCAGGCATTCAATTTGACATTTCCATTCTGACAAGATAGAAAAGAAAAGTCCTGTTTTGCCTTTTGGTTTTTAAAGATGCACACAAATCTTCATCTTTTTTTCCATCTTTTTTTTTACAAATTAACAAATATAAATCATCCTGGGATGCTTTTTGTCGATAGATCAGGGTGAAGATGCTTTAAAGAAATAAAGAGCTTGTCATATTCTCCAGCCAACCCAAGAGAAGCAGGAGGGAACTCACTCATCTCTAACTGTGTTGTGCCTTTTAAAATAACATCACTGGTCTTGCCTCAGCCTGCCTGCCTCCACCCCTCCTGCCTTGCTAGTGCTTTTCGTCTGTTGTAGATTTTGAAATGCATACCATCCAACATTTCTCCAGTGAAAATAGGGATGTCCAGTGCTATTATTCTAGAAAAAGAGGTGCCAGAACTCACCATGAATGCCTCCCTTGTTCTCTTATAATGGCAATGGTGCCTGCCTGAGAGGTGCTGGAACTGAGTTTTGGTGAGTTCCAACTGAAAAAGAGCCCTGAGGATGTCCTATTCCATACCTCCCAACATTTTCCCAGTGAAAATAGGGATGTCCAGTGCTATTATTCTAGAAAAAGAGGTGCCAGAACTCATCATGAACGCTTCCCTTGTTCTCTTAGAGAGCCAGTGTGGTGTAGTGGTTAAGAGTGATAGACTCGTAATCTGGGGAACCGGGTTTGCATCTCCGCTCCTCCACATGCAGCTGCTGGGTGACCTTGGGCCAGCCACACTTCTTTGAAGTCTCTCAGCCCCGCTAACCTCACAGGGTGTTTGTTGTGGGGGAGGAAGGGGAAGGAGAATGTTAGCCGCTTTGAGACTCCTTCGGGTAGTGATAAAGCGGGATATAAAATTGAAATTGAATTTGAAATATTTTATTGTCACTTGTACAACTTGTATACAGTGAGATTACACGAGCACCCACCCACTCAGCTCTCTTAGTCTTAATTCCCCTCGTTTAATGACACACACACACCAAACCCGAAAGTCAGTTGCCCTGCTGTTATCTTTTCATTCAGCAGCCTAACAGCCCACGGATAGAAGCTGTTCTTTACCCTGTTGGTGCGATTAATCATGCTTCTATATCTTCTGCATGAGGGCAGGAGATCAAGAAAGTGCCAGCCAGGGTGTGAATCATCCCTGAGAATTTTCCTCACTTTCCTGAGGCAACGTTCTTCTGCTATTTCATCCAGTGGATTTATGGGACAGCTGATAATATCTTGTGCTGTATTCACCACCCTCTATAGGCACTTCCTATCAGATGATGTCAAACCAGCATACCAAACCGTGATGCAGTATGCAAGGACACTTTCTATTCTTGACCGGTAGAAAGAGATCATCAGGTGTTGATTGACATTTGTTCTTCCGCAAGACTCTGAGGAGATGGAGTCTCTGTTGGGCTTTCTTAACCACCTGGGTTGTATTTATTTTCCAAGTAAGGTCTTCACTGAGATAAACTCCTAGGAATTTAAAGGAAGAGACTCTCTCCACACAGCCCTCCCCGATGTACAGCGGAGCTAGTTCTCCTCTCTTCCTCCGAAAGTCCAACACCATCTCCTTTGTCTTGCTGATATTAAGGTGCAAGTTGTTCCCTAGGCACCATGTAGATATTTTTTGGACCTCCCCTCTATACGCTGATTCGTTTCCACCTGTTATTAAGCAATGTTATTAAATCCAAACTCTTCTTCTTCTTCTTATGGCAATGGTGCCCACCTGAGAGGTACTGGAACTGAGTTCTGTCGAATTTCAACTGGAAAAAAAAGCCCTGGGATGTCCTATTCCATACGCTCCAACATTTCTCCGATGAAGATAGAGACATCCTATGGAAAAGCAGGACATTTTGGGATCAAATCAGAAACCGGGATGGCTTCTGTAAATCTAGGACTGTCCCTGGAAAATAGAAACACTTCGAGGGTCTGGAATTGATGGCAGGGACTTTTCTGTTTTATTGGTCTAGGAGCAAAGAATCAGGATGATTGCATGACAGAGTTGAATCCTTTCCCAAAGGCCCTTTTATCCTTGCTAGCGTCCTGCCTCCAGCCTACTGTAATTAATATGTCACAATCCTACCCATCCCCCCTGTTCTGTACAGAAGTGGTGATCAGGTGGAGTCACCCTGTTCACCCTGTGGCTTCTCAAACGAGCAGCAGCTATCTGCAAATCGGGAGGGTGGCACTGGGTTTCACATCCTTGTAGAAACCCGCAAAGGCACTGAGGAGCAAGTTACTAAGTTCCAATTTTAACCAGTTGCACATAGTGATCTGCACTAGAGAGCTTTGGGCTTTATACAAGAGTATTCAGGAGATGGTAGGTTTTCCGTTTTAATCACATTTAGGAATGGGGAGTATGAGGCATTCTGTCTCATCAGTGTCATATTAATGGAACCTCGCTAGGTTGCTAGGATGAAGTGCTGCTTTGCAAAACAATGGAATCAAATTTGCACCAGCCTAATGCATTGTATTTGTTGATTATGTTTCAGTGGAAATTGCAATTGTGGCATGGTAGTTGGCCTTCAGCTAAACAAAACTGCCTGATGCACTCCAACAGGAAGTAATTCCGGGCAACAAAGAAAGTTGTGCAATTCTCTAGCAAAATAAATTGTTGTTCTGAATGACTCCTTCAACTTTCATGGTTCTGTGCAGTGTGACTCAAAGCGAGCAGTGACAAATCAGTCTCCCTTGTGAAGCATCATCCATTTATCTGGAGTAGTTACAGCCAAATTCCATAAAATATCCCGGCCCTCTCACACAATAGTAGACAATTCCTCCTTTCAACGAACACAAAAAGGGCTCCTGTTATTACACTTCAATTTGATTGCACATTAAAAAACCTTCCAAATCTTTCTAGTGTTGTATTATACTGATGTAAAGCCTTTCCTTGATTTAATTAAAGAATTGTGGGTTGATGCTTTACTTCTCTGTCCCCTTTCTCAGTGTTTCATTTTGTTTTTTGCATAGCAAGTACATTCATTTAGGCAATCGGCAATGCAGGGAACAGGAAAGTTTTAATGATAATGACAGAGCATATTATGTTAATCAGGAGGGGGGATCTGATATACATCTGGGATCGAGATGCTTCTGTTTTGAACTTCTTCTTCACAGAAAATATGGTAGTGACTGCTGGGTCTAGAATGATGGCTTGCCTACTTTTGAAAATTCGAAGAAAATGGGGGATGGAACCACAGAGTTACTGTATTTTTCGCCCTATAGGGCGCACTGGCCCATAGGACGCACCTCAATTTTTTTGGGGGGGGGGAATGAATAAAAAAAATATATTCCCCCCCCAGCCATGGCGCTGGGGCAGGGGAAGCCCGAGCTTCCCCCGACCCCAGCCCCCAAAACAGGCTGCTATCCGCAAGCCTTGCGAGCCCGGGGGGAGTTCCCCGGATGCGTAAGGCTTGCGGACACCTGCGCGAAGCATGGGGCGTCCTCCGGAGGGAGCCCCATGCTCTGGGCTGCAGGCTGCCGCCCGCAAGCCTTGCGCACCCAGGGGATCTCCCCCCCCGGGCGTGCAAGGCTTGCGGACAGCTGCGTGAAGCACGGGGCGTCCTCCGGAGGGTGCCCCATGCTTCGGGCTGCAGGCTGCTGCCCGCAAGCCTTGCGAGCCTGCGGGAACTCCCGCTGGGCGTGCAAGGCTTGCGGATAGCTTTCTGAAGCCTGGAGAGCGAGAGGGGTCGGTGCGCACCGACACCTCTCGCTCTCCAGGCTTCAGCGAAAGCCTGCATTTGCCCCATAGGAGGCACACACATTTCCCCTTCATTTTTGGAGGGGAAAAAGTGCGTCCTATAGGGTGAAAAATACAGTAGGTTACTGCTAAATCGTGTGTGTGTGTGTGTGTGTGTTCAATGGGGAGATAACAAAATAAAGTTTGGTTCTCATAACAAATCTGTTCAGGTGTTAACTAAAAGTAAGTAGGGTGGGGGAGCTTCTTAAGTGCCTCACTTTGGATCTGAAATGACTTCTAATTCCCAGTCTGTACCAGATCCAGTGTTCTGCTTTCCAGTATATATGGTGGTTTTTCAGGGATTCCCCTCTTCTCTGCAAGGTGTGAAGACACTTAACATTACATTTCTTAATCTGTGCTCTGGCTTCGCCAGTAAGGCACACTGCTACAGATCTCTATTATGAGCAAGAGCCATCCCTGAACTATACTTTCTAAACTCTGATCTGTGTTCAGTATCCGGGCTGTCAACCAAGTGAAAAATATTGAGTTGCATAGCCATGGAAGCTTTTTGGGAAATTCCTCCCCCCCCCCTTAAAATATGCATTTCACCAAACCTCATTTATTTATTTGTTTTTTTAGGAACTGGAACTACTGTGAGGCAACTAGCACTCATGGTTAAAAAGGAAATATCAGATTTAATATTTTATTTTTCATTCCCTATTGGAGGAAAACGCCAGAACCAAAACACAGCTTTGCGAAATGCACGAGTACGGCATTAACTCTCAACCTCGCCAATTAAAATTTACCCTTCATTAATCATTAAAAGCTTTAGTTGCTGGATTTGCCCATTAAGCCTAGAATCAGGCTGCAATCCTGCACCCACTTACCTGGAGCAGCTGGACAAGGGAATGCAGGATGTGGTGATGTCATCAGTTGGAGCACCGGGGTTACTGATGAGTCTCCTTGCTCCGGCAAGAAAATAAACTCTAAGAGTTTAAGTCATAGCAATCTTTGCAAGCTTGTGTGCATTTCTAATTAAAGGCTTAAGGTTACATTTCAGTGGGCAGGAGATCTTTTGCTAAAGCTCAATTTGTTTTGCAAGTTTAATCCATACATTCGGAGGTAAGCATCACTGAGCTCAATGAAGCTTACTCCCAGGAAACTATACGTGGGACTGGAGCCATGCTGCTGGGAAGTTTATCATATGCTAGGACTCCATGAAAGTGTCACAATTTTTCATAGCATTTATTTCTACAGAAGCCTGCATTTCTGGATTCCCTATGGGGGAATGTCATAATGCACTTGTATTTTAAAATTTACCACTACACCAATGCCTGGTAGTAAGTTGCATTAAACTCAGTATGACTTATTTCTGAGTCAAACTCTGTAGAGTTACGCTTTCATTTAGTATGTAAATCGCTGTTCGCTTCTCTGGATTCAAATGTTTATCCTGTATTTTGTTTTCTGCTGTCTTTCTGCTCCCTTATTCTATAGTGTGTGTGTGTGTGTGTGTGTGTGTGTGTGTGTGTGAATTTTCTCTCTTGCAGTGAAACGGAAGATTTCCCACTGAGAATATTTAAATACTCCTCCCCGCTGCTCCTAAGACAAATGGTGTGATTATTAAGTAATAACCATTCCTTTTCCTTTCGTAGATCCCGGCTTGCACAGGCAACAATTTTTCCTGCAGAGACCGTCAAATGTGGTAGTTGTCGAAGGGAAAGACGCTGTGCTGGAATGCTGCGTCTCTGGCTATCCAGCCCCAACGTTTACGTGGCTGCGAGGAGATGAAACAATCCCATTCAGGTACCTAGTTCCTCAGTTTACAACAATGCATTGGGAAGAGCAAATCTAGAATTCTGCTGCTCGCTTTTGGATCAGCTGCTTTGTCCCATGTGGGAACACCATTGCTGAAAGGAGAGAAAATTATAAGTCTGCCGGACCCCTACATATGGGAAGGAGTGAACAGCCCTCCCACTGAATATAATCGATCATTCATGCTTATGATATTGTATAATTTCTTTTTAAATTGACGTGAGCTACCAGGAACAGTGGAGAGGGTGGGATGTAAACCTTCTAAAACTAACAAAGCCATCCTACCCATTCCCTTATTTTAAACCAAGTTTTCTTGCCAATATTCCAGGTCCAAAAAGTATTCATTGCTGGCCGGCAGTAACTTACTGATATCTAATGCAACAGATGATGATTCTGGGACGTATACTTGTGTGGTCACCTACAGGGAGGAGAACAGTAGTGCTTCAGCTGAGCTATCTGTTTTGGGTGAGTACAGAGAATTCTATATCTTTTGCGGAGTCCTTTGCAGTCTGAAAAAGTCCTTTGCATCTGAAGAAGGATTCACTGTGCTTCCAGGATGGGTATTTATTGTGGAGGCTCACACAAAGTGTCCAGACTACGTCACTGGCATAAAAATGCTGGCTTATACTGTATCTTCTCCCCACCTTTAATACGATTTATACTTTCAAGGGCTAATCTGATAAGTGAAAAAACAAAAACCTGTTACTTGTTTGCTATATCACAATGACTGGTTTGCAAATTAACTGGAACACCCTCAGATTTCTTTGTTATTATTTGGGTTTTCTTTCTGAATCTCAGTCAAGTTGAAAGACATCTTCGCATGCCTACAATGTCATGAAAAACATTCAATTGTGTTTATTCTCAAATTGAATTCCAAATATTGTCTCTGTGGTTGGGTGATTTTTTAGCTCTGTGGATAAGATGATTTTCCTGTGTTTGCTTTCTTCCTCATTATGTTGAGCTTGTTGGGTTCCTTTATTGCTGTTTAGTCGTGTCTTTGTGACCCCATGGACCAGAGCACACCAGGCACTCCTGTCTTCTACTGCCTCCCGCAGTTTGGTCAAACTCATGCTGGTAGCTTCGAGAACACTGTCCAACCATCTCGTCCTCTGTCGTCCTCTTCTCCTTGTGCCCTCCGTCTTTCCCAGCATCAGGGTCTTTTCCAGGGAGTCTTCTCTTCTCATGAGGTGGCCAAAGTATTGGAGCCTCAGCTTCAGGATCTGTCCTTCCATTGAGCACTCAGGGCTGATTTCCTTCAGAATGGCTAGATGCACCTGACCTTGGCAGGGCAGCACTGATGACTGGACTCCAGCAGAGGTCAGAAAGGGAAAACATCCTGGGGAAGCATTGGACCAGGTTCAAACTCAAGCTCAACCCAAATGTTCCCAGGGGCTCTGGCGTGGCCCTCACCCCTGGATGGGGATCAGACAAAAGCAAGGCGATCCCCTGGATTCCTTTAATGGAATACCTTTTGCGCATTGGAGGGGTAGGTGTGACAACATCCCCTCCACACCACATTGAACCAATGCCTAACCGCCAAACCTTACGCAGTTGTGAAGATTTGGTACGCGGCAGGAGAAACCCAACTGGTGCCAGCCAATCAGCCAAATGGGAAAATTCCTACTGGGCCCCTGTCCCCAAAACAGACGACCCACGGCGTCATATCAAGGTCATAATGAACCCTAAATATAGGGAGGCTGGGCGGGTGATCCGATGCACGAGGCAAAAAGAGGAAGCTCAACGCAACGTGCAGCGGTATATACAGGTCCCTCAGTTAATGCATGAAACGATCCCATTGGCGGCCAGAATTACCCCAGCAACCAAGGGACCACCAATCGGGTTGTTGTGGCTATCCAATCACTCCCACCCACAACAGCAGTGAGGGCAGTCTTGATGATCTCACCGCAACACATGCTATCTGGGAGGAGGACACGATTTGCCAAAATGTGCCATTATACACTCAACAGGATAGCATTCATCCCTAAGCAGAAACATAACTTTTGCACGGTGAAATATACTCGGAGTCAAGGATGGATTTCATGCTCTTTATTCAGCTCATAGTGGTGAGGAGGGAATGGAAGTCCCCTCAAAGTATCTGCTTTATATACATTATTTACACAATGGGCTGCACATGATTGGCTAATTCTGGGATTCTCCTGTAGGATTCATTTCCATCTGGAGCTGGATTGGGTGGCTCCTGTGGACCAATCATACTGCATTGTTCTAGGACCAATCAGACTGCTGCATTTTGGATCCTATTGTTCTAGGACCAATCAGACTGCTGCATTTTGGATCCTATTCAACTCAGTACATAACACACGGGCTGATTTTTCTGAACCTGTGTGGTCCGATTGCATATCAGCTCAAATCCTAGCATATCCCTGCATCTGTGGATATTTCTGCCTCACCAGAAAGGCCCCATTGCATGGATTCAGGGTAGGGATAGTGTTTTCAGAATGGGTAGATGGCATATTGGTGTGTATGTGTGTGTGTGTGTTAGTTCACACGATCCTTTCATGTGTGTCTATTGTTCCTCATTCAAAGTGCTGCCTGACTTGTTGCTCTTGCTTATCTCTGTGGCTTATCTGAATGCTTACTGCCATGCTGGTGCTTTTCTACCCTTCTCATCTAAGTGCTTTCTTGACTTGCTAGCTCTTATCCTTCCTCTTAATCTAATATCTGACTAGCTTGCTGGTGCTTATCCTTCCTCCCCATCTGAATGTTTCCTGGCTTGTCAGTGCTTATAGTTAGGCCCCATGCTTGTATACTTGCTAACTTTAACATTAGCCCCTCGGCTTCCCAATGTTTGTTCATGATCACCATCTAGCAACTTCCTGGCTTGTTAGGGTTCATATTTCTTGCCCTTCCCTCTAACTGCTGATTGCTTGCTGAGGCTTATAACTTGCACATTAGTCTGCATCCTAGGATTGTTCTATGCTGATGTACTGCTTGGTTTCCTGGCAGAGCCATCCCTAGCATTAGGCAGAGTGAGACAGCTGCCTCAGGCAGCAGGTGGGTGGGGCAGCAGTTCTCCATCATTTCCCCTGAGTCCCCAAAGCTAGCTTGCTCTACACCTCCTAAGCAAGCCTGCTGCTTTCAGCTACTGTCAAGGATGTTATCCCACAGCCTGGTTGGTGGTTTTTTTTGTGTGTTTTTTTTTGGCCATACAATTTTTTATTAAATTTTCCAAACATTTTCACAATAATCTTTATATCAAATAGTTACATCCACAAATTGACTTCCCACCCACCCCCACTCCACAGTGTTTTTACTCAAACCTTTTCTACTGCATTATATCTTTATCTATTACACAAAGTTCCAGTGAGCCAGTGTGGTGTAGTGATTAAGAGCAGTAGATTCGTAATCTGGTGAACCAGGTTCACTTCCCCGCTCCTCCACATGCAGCTGCTGGGTGACCCTGGGCTAGTCACACTTCTCTGAAGTCTCTCAGCCTCACTCACCTCACAGAGTGTTTGTTGTGGGGGAGGAAGGGAAAGGAGAATGTTAGCCGCGTTGAGGCTCCTTCAGGTAGTGATAAAGCAGGATATCAAATCCAAACTCCTCCTCTTCTTCTTCTTCCTCTTTTACAATTATTTTATTGTTTTTCTGCTGCTGCTTTTAGCTCGAATCCTGCCCGCGATTTCATTTGACTATAGTATTTTTGAAAAAATAGTCCATGGAAGGCCTCTATTATTCTATGAAAAGTTCACCATAGCCAGTATTGAACTAAGATTCAGCTGCTAGTTTGGTTGGATTCTGTACATGGAATGGCAGGGGGCAAAACCTTGTCCTGAACCCCAGGCACCAAAGTACCTTGGGCTTGGTCCTGCTTCCCATGCTTTATGGTTATTCCCATAAATTCTTGACACATAATCTAAATGTTCAGCAGATTTCTAAGAGTTCAGCAGATTTCTCTTGTTTCTCTTCCCAGGTTACTAATGCTTACCTGAAAAGGAAAGGGTCATGGCTTTGTGGCAAGATGCAACAGGTCCCAGGTTCTATCACTCACATCTCTAGGTACTAGAGCTGAAACCCAGGAGACCCCTGCCCATCACTGTAGACCAGGTGTGATGAACCCTTGGGTCTCCTGATGTTGCTGAACAATTTCCATCATCAGTAGCCATTGGCCATGATGGAAGCTGTAGTTCAGCAACATCAAGAAGGCCAAGGTTTCCCCACTCATGATGTGGACAATACAGAATTAGATGGACCAGTAGTCTAACTTGGCATAAGGCCTGTGGATTGCTGTTTTTTTTTGTGGGTTTATTGCCCTTTCATTTGTTGATACCAACATGGTGCAGCAACAGCTTGCTCCATTTTTTTTTTTTTTGCAAATGTGCAAGGTGTGTATTTTCCACATGCATTTCATCTGTGCAAACATCATCATCATCATCATCATCATCATCATTTTATAAGTATGCCGCCTTTCCACAGTTAAAGCAATGCTCAAGGCGGCTTACAATATGAAAAGATTTACATAATTATAGTGGTACCTCGGGTTACATATGCTTCAGGTTACATACGCTTCAGGTTACACACTCCACTAAGCCAGAAATAGTGCTTCAGGTTAAGAACTTTGCTTTAAGATAAGAACAGAAACAGAAACCGGTGCAGCGGCAGCAGGAGGCCCCATTAGCTAAAGTGGTGCTTCAGGTTAAGAACAGTTTCAGGTTAAGTACTGACCTCCGGAATGAATTAAGTACTTAACTTGAGGTAAAGATACCCCTGCCCGTACGGGCCAGTCGTGTCCGACTCTAGGGTTGTGCGCCCATCTCACTTAAGAGGCTGGGGGCCAGCGCTGTCCGGAGACACTTCCGGGTCACGTGGCCAGCGTGACGAAGCTGCTCTGGCAAGCCAGCACCAGCGCAGCACACGGAAACGCCGTGTACCTGAGGTACCACTGTACAAACATAGCAAAGTAGTCGTCAAAATAAATAAGACACATTGAAAACTACAAAACCAAACTGAACAGTTTCCACATAAAAATAAAGATACAAAAAGTTAATATCAGTAATATCAGTTAATATCAGTAACAGCAGCAAAAACTCGCAACGAAACTTTCCCGAAAAGGCCCAAGTCCTTGCTGGGCAGAAGCCGCAGCAGCAGTTCTTATGAGGCCAGTCAAGCCCCACCCTAGGCCAGGTGGAGAGAGGTAGGAACAGGGCCCTCAGGCACTCAGCAGGGGAGTCCTCCCTGGGCATGCAACTTATGCTTCTGAAAATGAAAATTTTAATTATTCATCCAATTCCCAAACTTCATCTCCTGGTATTCCAGACGACATGCATCTGCCTCAGTGGCGTAGCGTGGGTTGTTAGCACCCGGGGCAAGGCAAGTAATTTGCGCCCCCTAACCCGTGGAGCCAGGTAGGGGCAGAGAGCTGCGAGTGCGAGCGCCCCCCCCCCAGATGTCGCGCTCGGTGCGGCCGGCCCCCCCTGCACCCCCCACACTACGCCACTGATCTGCCTTCACCAGAGCTGTCCCCACAAAAACCTGCTTTAGCACATATATTAGTGGACCAGGGTGCATATATTTACTGCCACTGTCAGGAGGAATAGCTTTGACTGATTTTGTCTCTGGGTCCATATCCAGGCATCATGCACGGCATGGCTGTGATGCAACATTTTGATGCCAGCGGTTACCACACAGAAATAACAGTACTCAGGGAAAAAATTGGAAGCACTGTTGTTTTCCGTGCCACCTGCTGAGCAGCAAAGCATACCACTTTGCCCCTGCTTTCATCCTTGTGAAAACCTCTCTTTCTTCCTGCAAATGATTCATTAGCCAGTAAGCATGCTATTTGACAGAGATGTGAGGGGAGGGGGAAATGTATTGGGTCTGGGATCAAAGAGTTGAGTTTGCCAGTGTGTCAGTTTTTCATGGAATCAGAATTGTACAAACACTGCGTTTAGGGAGGTGGTTTGTTTTTAATTACTGAACAATGCTGAGTTATCTTTGGGTGATTCCAAAAGATTTAAGGAACCACGCAGATAATACTTGCTCAAACAGGAGCCCAATATCACTGTAATGCTTATTTAGCATTTGGGCTTTAAACCTTATGCATAAAAATGCTTTCATTAGTGAACAGAAAGCCCTTATTTGGATTAGAAGAGATTTGATGTGTGCACAACAATATCCTTTTATTAAGCCACAATGCAATGTTATGGAAATTATGCATGATGGAGGCTTTGAACTCTCTGGCTTTTGGTGCATTAATGTTTCATGGGTTTCAATTATTTCATAATGACAAAAGTAATTTTAGAGAGAGAGAGAGAGAGAGAGAGAGAGAGAAGCAAAACAAGTTGTTTTGCAAAACACTTTCTTTTTATTTGGTCTTACAAGCTGGTTAATGATGGAATGTGCATGATGTTTTGCAATTGTGTAGTGTAGCACTCACATCTATATCTAGAGACCTATCTGTCAAGTTTTGTCAGGACTGTGAAAGTCTTCAAGGTTCCTGCGCCTAGGACCTTACCGGTTGCTTATCACGGGTTCCTGTTAGGATAGCCATGTTCCTTGCCTTATAGAAGAATAGTCTTCTATCTGAACAGCTGTCAGCAGACAGTCCTCTACTTGAAAAGAGAATTTAAAATTGGTAGTGTTGTACAGTGAAGCTATTAAAATGTAAAAGAAAGAAAGAAATGTTTTTCTTTCTGTTTTCCCATTTCTTTTTAGTCCCAGTCAATGATAAAAATAGCATACAAACAAGCATAGATGTAGAAGACGGTTGCAAATTATCCCTTGTTCTCACTGCAGTTTGATGCATGTGACTCTTGCTAAACAAAGACCTCTCCTTTTGTTTGACTCTTCCCAGTCAATGTCACTATTCATTGAATTTAAAATGTATGACCATTAAGGAGTTGTTAAATATCAGTTTAAATATTCAAGTCATCTTTTCATTTCAGAAACAAGTGTCTATAAACAAAATAGTGCATGTTATTTTCTCATTGCTGTGCCTTTCAGCAACTGTTCAACACTGACAAAGAGAGTTCTTTTGAGAAAGAAGCTTCTGTATGATTAGTTGATATTAGGGTGTATGCTTGCCCTAATTTGAGGCTTAAATCCCGAGTTTCTGAACTTGAAAGTGTCAGCTTGCTTCTTGCAGTTGGTTTATCTGGCTCCTTTAGAGCTGGAGTGCCCAACATAGTCCTCACTGCAACTCCAAACGCTGAGAGGAGTTGCTGGGAGTTGGCACACCAAGATGATTGGTAATCATGGGCTTTGGGACTTTGAGCCACATTCCTCTCCCTCTTTGGCATGCTACTCCCTACTCCCTTTATGTATCTTCTCAAAGTTAACTTTTTCAGCAACCCCAGTCACACTTTCATCTGACCATTGCCACCTAGCTGTTCTTTTAGTGGGAAATTGCAGTCAGCCGTAACTATGAATGAGTGCTAGTTAATGCATGAAGGGGTTAAGATCAGAGAGGTCTATTCCTAGACTCAGACCACACCATCTCACCTCCTCCTTCTCTTCTCTCACTCTCTTTGCACCATGTAATCAACAAGGAAGGACTTGCCTGAGCTTGCTCCAACCTCAGACTTCTTGCTTGAAACCACCTTTCTGTATTTTGTACCCAGGAGTATTCCACTTGTGTTCTCCTTGCAGTTGCATGGAACAACACATGAATCAGAACTTTTTATTTAAAAAAATTATATTTATTAAGAATTTTTAGAGTTACAAAAAAGAAACAAAAAAGAAAAAGAAAAAGAAAAAACAAAGGAAAAACAAGCCACAATCAAGCAATACAAATTAATAAAAATCAGAATCAAAAAATAACACATCACGATCAAAAGACAAAAATGTGCCACAAACATTTAAAAACAAATCCAATATTCTCAAATCCTTAATTGTCATTACCTTCTTTCTTTGACCTCCTCACCCCTCCCTTTTTTTGTATCCTAGTTATTAATTGTCGCAGCAAATCTTTTCCATATTTCATAATATTCTGTCATTACATTACCTTAATCTATTTTAATCTTATCTTACTATAAAGAACCTTAAAATTTAAAACTTAGATCTTATTTATACCAATTTCTCATAACCATAATATTCTTACATAATTCTTTAAACATTTTTGCTAAAGCCAAATAATTTCGTTCCAACATTTTTCTAACGTTCATCAATTTTATAAAACAATCCTAATAAAAAAATTTTTTTTTTCTTCCAATCTTCAACCAGCGTCTCTTCCTCCTGGTCCTGGGTTTTGTCAGTCCTTTCTATCTCATCAATCTAGCGCATTAACCTGGTAATCTTATGTCCGAGGCCCTTAAGTCCCTTCCATGTCCCTTCCGCAGCTCTTCTTCATATTTATACCTGTACTTTACTTTGTCTCCTGCTCCTTTCACTCGTGGGACCTCCAACTTAACAATGTTTTTGACCCTTCTTGACAAATCAGCCCCTTTTCCATAGTCCACACTAAACTCCATGTGGTATTTAAAAACATGTTTCAAAGTCCCTCCAAAATTGAGACCCCCCACAACCCCAAACATCTCACGGCCCATTGCCAGACTTGAAAAGTCCAAACATCTCTGCATAGGGGGGTCTATCCACCCCACCCCCCATTCCCAAACCAAACCAAACTTTATCTTTCCAAATCTGGCTTTTTCCAAGTTCATTTGTCAAATCCAAGAACTCATGTTCCTGCTGGGCCACAGCTCCCTCCATCTCTGGCGCCCAAGGTTCAGCAACATCCTCTTTCATCTGTTCTGTCAGAGCACACTCCTGATTTGAATCCTGGGTGGGCTCTATATAATTTCCCACTGCCTGTCCAAAATTTCTGATCGCATCAGTCATCAAGTCCGTCTTCTCATGTAGCTGTTCCAGTAGGGCACTTGTTTTACAGAAAGCACGCAGCAGAGCTTCTGGATACATTGTTATGCAAGGTCAGAAGGCTATTCCCATGATCGTAATCTGTAACAGCTGCTAGCTCCCCGATTCAGAATTTGAAACTGTTTCAGAGGCTCCCTCTAGGGGAAGAACTTCTTTTTATTATTTTCTTTTAAAGGCAGATCTGACAACAAAGTTTCCTTTTTCAGATATTTTGTCAATATTTGTTCCTTTAAAATGCGAAAAGGAACATGAATCAGAACTTTTGATTTTGTAAGTAAAGTATTTTAACCTTACTTAAGTGTGTGGTCTGTTCATTGTCAGGGGGATAGAGAACCAGAGGGATAGAACCATGAGTTCTGCTTCTAAGGGACCTTGTGAACCATGAGTGATCCTCTCAGTGAGTAATTCCCAGTACATTTCTTTCTGTAGAACCTCAAATACACCCAGGAAGACCATTTGAAAATCATTAAACTAGTTACTAGCAGATAAGCTTGGGAATGCTTAGTAAAATGCAAAGGGGGGGGGAAACCCCTCTTGAAGGATATTGGAAATAATCTTCCATATTAATTTTATTTAATCACACTTCAAGGACCTTAATGAAACTTGTGATAAATTATGAGCCTTCAGACCCCATCCTGTGCCTCCTCCCTGCACTCAGAAGAGTTTTGCCCAGACTGATCTTAAAACTGGTAGTTATAATTAGCTCTTAAATGGATCGGACATTTTGCTAACAATTACATAGAACAGATTCTGTTTACAGCAAAATTCATCATTTCACCAGGAGTGTGGCTCATGCTCGTAACAATTACCACGCACTGTCTGTTGCAATAAAATATATTTTACTAGAAGTTGTCAGCTTGGCAGCATCATAAAAAATGAGATGGAAGTGGGGAGTGGGTGATTTATAACCATTATATTTGATACTCTCTTCTTTGTTTAAAAGGCAGTGTTGTAGTCTCCTCTTCAAAGAAGCTTAGTGGCTAGAGCCAGGTATTAGTGGCCTCCCAGTTCCTAGGTCTAAAATGGTAGTGGCTGGGGTGTAGCAGAGGCACAATTTTCGGTGTGTGTGTGTTTGCTGCTCATGCTGCCCTGCCGTTCCTGCACCACTTTATGAGGCTGGGATTCCAGCCTTGCAAAGTGGTGCACGGCTGGCGTCACTACGGTGATATCGGTGGCAAGAGCTGGACTGTTGCAGCAGGCTCTGTACACCATCTGCACCCCACCCCGGGCACCAGCAAACCATGCTACACCACTGGGTGGTGGTGAACCCTTTTCAGACGAAGGCCTTCAGTCCCTTGAGGGCACCTTTCTGGGGATGGGCATGCCCAGAAGCAAAGAGGTCTTCCTCTGTGGCAGCTTGCAAGTAGAAGACAGGTGGATGGGAATCCTTGTGAATCACACACAGTGGTGCTCCCTCATGTTGCTTTTACTGGCAATCTTCTCAGTGTTTGGCAAAGCGAGGAAACTGTCATTGAATTCTATGTCTGCAAAAGGTTCCAGTTTCTATCCTGCATAGGGCTGGGAAAGACTCCAGGGAGTTTCTGCCAGTCAGCATAGACAGTACAGTGGTACCTCGGGTTAAGTACTTAATTCGTTCCAGAGGTCCGTTCTTAACCTGAAACTGTTCTTAACCTGAAGCACCACTTTAGCTAATGGGGCCTCCTGCTGCTGCCGTGCCGCCGGAGCACGATTTCTGTTCTCATCCTGAAGCAAAGTTCTTAACCTGAAGCACTATTTCTGGGTTAGCGGAGTCTGTAACCTGAAGCGTATGTAACCCGAGGTACCAGTGTACTGAGCAAATGGACTGATGGGCTGATTCAATACAAGGCAGCTTCTTGTTTTTGAATGTTTTGCTTTGCTTTGTTTCATGGAAGTT